AAATAGCCCTCCGAACAAAACCTCAAAATTGCTTAAAAAAATACATTTGTTCACATTTTTCACATGCATTTTTTCACATTTCAAAAATATTGCATTTTTGAAACACATTTTTTCACATTGTTTCACATTTTTCACGTGTTTAATTAATCATTGTTTTCAGGCTTGTAGCTGGAAACGGCCATGATAAGGTTACACCCTCTTGGGCTACTTTCCTACAACACCATAATACATTTCAGTTTGATCGGTGGCTGCAACGCTGGAAGATGTCACGATCGTTGATTCAATACTGGCAAGAATTTCTTCGGAAATTCAAGAAGACACCACAGGGACAATGTCAGAGACATGTTCGGACCCTTCAACAAAAACTCAGTTCCTTTGTGGTTTCGCCTTCAGATCATTTTCCTCATTCGTTGACGTTACATTGTCCTGTACAATGGCAGATGCTGATGAAACTGACATTTTTGGATCCTTCGGTCTTCACCAGATGTTCAGTATTACCAGTTCCTTTGTTGCGTACAATTCAACAGGAGTTACCGACTTGGATATTAGAACATTACAGGTGGGGGTTCAAGTTCACATCATCCCTCAGTACAGCCTATATCCTTCCCAAACCATCGAGAGACTTTCAGAAAGCACGTCCAATTGTGGACTATTCCAATGCTTGGTGTCAGACTTTGGGTAGTTCGTTGGCCACTGCTTTGCATGAAATATTACAGGTTGTGTACCCAGAATTGCTACAAATCACGGATATCCGGTCAGCACTGCAGTCTGTTGCTCACTTGTTTTCATGTCAAGATTACACATACGGCGATTTGTTACTTCAACAAGAAGACATTGCAGGATTTTATAACCAAGTTGATCATGATCGCATGCTTCAAGCCATTTCTTTTGCAGTTTGTCGGTTCTGTGAACTTCAAGGCCAGAATCCAGCTTCATCTTTGAACGTTCATCAAGAATCGCTTGAACGCACGTTACGGACATTCAGAGGCTTCTGGCGATCAAAGAGCCAGAAATATCGACCAATTCGCCTAGATCATATTTGTCCATTCATTGAGTCAATATTTATTGACGCATAGCTATTTCAATATTGGGGCCACAGTTTTTCAACAGCATCGTGGTGCTAGCATGGGATCCCAATGGGCACCCATTGTCTGTTCTGCCGTAGCTTTGCTACGAGAATGGACCTTTCATGCTTCTTTTCGATTTTTTTGCACAAATATGGGCTTTCATCATCGCTATGTCGACAATCGTATTTTAATTCACACAGGACTTGACTCAGCCACTCCAGGTGGTCGACTTTTCTGGCGTTTGGATTTCTATACTCTTGGAACATGTCACAGGTGATGAAGCCTTGGGATATCGCATTGACTGCAATCAAAATTCTATTACGTTACAACTTCCATGGGACAAACCATTGAGAAGTAGTACAGTACCAGGTGTGGTGTTTCCGGAACTGCACTCAGTGGTCTTGTGGCTCGCGTACGTTTGATTCTTACAAGTGTGTATCCGCGTCAACTACAACTTCCTCAAATCCAAGATCTTCTTGGTCTGGTATCAACTCGAGATCCCACTCTTCTTCAAGATGACCGTGCTCGAAAGACCAGCATGACTCATGACAGTGATCCACAAAGTCCATGTAAACTAACGCGCACATGAGGTGTTCAAGTATGTTCAGTAAAAAGACCAGTGTTTGCGTCGTCAGCTAGCTCTTCTGTCATCAGCTGTCCAGTTGTTCTGAGCGTTGAATACATCCTCACACGTTGATTAAAATACAAACAGTCCTGTCTATATGGGTTCAAGGCTTCCTGCCGTTTTCGCTCAATTTCTCATAACTATAGGTGCATCATATGTTTTTGCAACTTTCGCAAAAAACTGGCGTTCATGTTACAAAATTGAATCCACTTGCCCAATCATTTGAAGTGGTTATGATGACATACACTGTCTGATCCTTAGTTCACGTTACATTTGTTTGTATCCAACACTTGCGGTCCGACCCTCAGTTCATTATAAGCATTTGGTTGATCGTCTGCAGCGAAAGTGGTAGTCCGCACCTTAGTTTGTGTCACTATCCCAGTCATTACGATCGAAAACAGAGACGTTGGTGGTCTGACACTTAATCCGCTGGAGTCATTCAGAGTTTTGACAAGCTAGTCGTGGTGGTGTTGATCCAAATTTGACTCGACTATTCAGTGCTTAACATACTCGCGTTGATCAATCAATGCACAAGAAAACACTCGGCTCGACTAATGTTGTAACCATGAGATTTCTTACTAGCTACGTTTCTGACTCTAGTTTTTCACTTGATCCTCTAGGTCTAGGTGTGACGACACTTACGAAGTGAGAGTGCAGGGCAACAGTTTCCTGATTTATCCATTATCTTCCCCTCGGGGCTTGTGTGTGTGTGCAAACCGTTATCACACACGGTATAATTTAACTATGCAGGGGGCCCACGGGTCTGATTCCTGGCGTGGGCCAACGAAGCTCCAGGTGTCAGACTAGGATATCAGGAAGGGACGCTTTCCTGACGTACCTGCAATTTCGGTTTGAACAACGTGTTTTTCCAGCTGTGCCCTGTTTTGTAGTAGGTCATCGTTCTGAACCAGCGGATTGCGCCATATGTCCTCATCCTGCATGAAGGCGACTTAGAAAATCAGGCGACGGCAAGTTCTACATTCATCGTCATCAAACAAAAAACCTAAGCAGTGTGTGTGTGTGTGTGTCTGTGTGTGTGTGTTTGTCTGGAAATGGGAAGAATTGCTGCATACTCTTGCAGTTTGAATAGGGCCTAGGGAAATGTGGGAATGGATTGCCCCTGTTTTCAGACATCCTTTGTGCATCCGTTGTGCACAGCCCTAAAAACCTCAGTTTTCATCCGAGCATCTCATTCCAATATGAGCTGACAATCCTGGACAACTGTCCGATCCACCCGTTCCATTGGGCATCGCTGATGGACAAGCAATGCGGCTTCTGAGTCATTGTCAACGATGGCTTCGTTTGGATGCACTCCTGGAATGTCTGTGACTCACTCGTCCCCATGGGCCCCATGGAAATGTTCCGAGGAAAGCATCGATTTCGATTGACGTTTCACATCCCCAAAGTTTGGGGCAGCTATCAAATATCATCATGTGATATCACCTGTGTACAGGGTTTCCTACCGGGTTTCCTATTCTCAAAATCCATGTCAGTCCATATCAGTCCTCCGGGTCCATCAAGATGATGGTGTGTCCCCCAGGGGGCACTGACATGTCCGCTGACGAGCCAATGCCCATGGTGACTGAAGTGACTTGAGACTAAGGAGACACTGAGCTCGAGCCAAGTCTACGGGAAAGCCATGAGGAAAGCCATGACTCTCTGCTAGGCCATGGAAAACCCACATTTTCAACAGGCAAATCATGGAGACATGGAGAAATGGAATCTTGTCCAGTTGTCACATAGTTCGACGTGTTTCTACCCCAACAATGTACAAGGTGGTGGCCCAAAAACCCAGTGATGTTGGTTGGTTTATAAACCCCATTAACGATCATTAACGGCTATAGATTGATCTACCATGATCTAGTAGTGATGTATCTAGACGTCTACCTTCACGGTGACGCCTCGTTTCGTGGCTTCATGCAACGGCGGGTCCATCTCCGGGTCCTGCGATGCTGAGATTCACTGCGGATTTGACAAAAGAAACATGCAGGGTGGTGCCCCATAGTTAGCTAAGTTGGTTTATAACTCCAATTTCATTTGGGTTTCTGGTAGAATATGGTAGATACCTGAGAAGGGGGGAACGAAAGCCAGCATCCCATCTACCCCTATTTTCCCCCAAAGATTTTTCACTCACAGACTTTTCACCCATATACTTTTCACCCACAGACTTTTCACCCAGAGTCTTTCACCCATATACTTCTCACCCATATACTTTTCATCCAGAGACTTCACCCAGAAACTCTTCTTGCACAGACTTTTCACCCAGAGACTTTTCACCCACAGGCTTTTCACCCACATACTTTTCACCCACAGACTTTCACCCACAGACTTTTCACCCATATACTTTTCACCCACATAATACTTTTCACCCACATTCTTTCACCCATATAATTACTTCTCACCCATATACTTTTCGCCCACACACTGTTCAACCATATACTTTTCACCCGCAGACTTTTCACCCAGAGACTCTTCACCAATATACATTTTACACTCAGACTTTTCCCCGATATACTTTTCACCCACAGACTTTTCACCCACAGACTCTTCACCCACCATCTTTCACCCATATATTTCTCACCCATATACTTTTCACCCAAGGCTGTTCAACCATATACTTTTCAACCACAGACTTTCACCCATAAACTTTTCACCCACAGACCTATCACCTGCAGACTTTTCACCCACAGACTTTTTAGCCACAGACTTTTCACAGGCGAGGGGCTCACTTTGGGCATAAATTCGAGCTCACTTTGGGCATAATTTCTTGAGGTTCACAGTGGGCATAAACTGGGCTCATAAATGGGCTCACTTTGGGCATAAATGGGTGCGGCATAAATGGGCTCACTTTGGGCATAAATAAGCTCCCTTTGGGCATATGAGCGGGCGTCAATATTACATGTTTGGCTGGCATTCAAATGCTGATTAGGGCGTCCCCTATCGTTTTCCATGGTTTGGACTTCTGGGCCCCCATTCGTTTGCCACTCAGCTGTTCCTTATTGTTTTCAATGTTTTGGACTCCTTGGTATCATTTGTTTGACAGAGTTAAATATATGTTTGATGAAAGTATGTTCTTCATCAGTCCTCACGTTCTGGTTTGTTCGGAACTCGTTCATATCACAGAACCAAATTTTCCGTTCAATACCAATGAATGCACAAGGAGGTAGGAAGTAATCCATAAAAAAGTGGTAAGACAGGGCAAAATCAGGCTGGCAAATTAACCCATGCAGATTCATTTTTTCAGGAGCTTGCAGACGAATCCGTGCTGCTGCTGCTGGAAGAGGAAGTTTGGCTCGAGTCATCTTCTTGCAGCTGTTTTCGTCGTTCGGCCCTGGACTTTGCTTTGGTCGATTGACGTTGTCTCTTTTCGATGAGGCAGCGAGAAGCAGGAGCCAGAGAAAATTTTTGGTCTGCAGCTTGGGGCAAGCAGCTGGACTGAGCACTTTGTCTTCGAGTCAAACCAGTTTCAGTATGCCGGTCAAGTGGCTCTACCGTATGATCCCACCGGGACCTGCCGACATCTTGCCAGTAACCTCTCCTGTACTGCTCGGCAGTATCTTGGGTTCGCGACAACTCCGCTTCTGGCGTCAAGTTCCGACAGGCTAGCATATTGGAAAACACATGGTCACTGATCCTCACTTTCAATCGGGATGGGCCATTCACAGGCACAGAAGATATACAGTAACTGCGGCTGATGTGAAAGTGCCGGAAGGTGATCCGGCTGCGCTCAGCCGCCGGTTTCTTCATGGAGGAGCAATCATTGATGACTTTGACAATAGGCGCTGTGGGGTCAACCTTGACATATGCATCAGAACGGTTTTGCAGCCAAGCGCACAGATCGGGAATGTCAATCAGGTCTTTCTGACGAGCGCGGGCATCTTTAACAAGTCTTTCGAAGTGAGCAAAAAGTCTGTCAGCCTCGGATTTGAAATGTTTCTCCACGCCGAAATGAATACAAATTCTTGCCTTATGCTGCGCTGGCATAGCCACAGCTGCGTGGTGCAAGGCCTCGTAGCTCCTGAAGTGTGGGCCTGCGTCGCTAAGTAGATGTATTGTCTCCACAGGCCCTGTTCCCCGACGCTGTCTGATTGCAATCTCAATGCATTGTGAAGCCCGGCAGCTGGAATGGTCGAGGATGTCACTGATGTTCAGCACCCGTGTCCATAATACTGTGGAGTCAGCGCTAGACTTTCGTTCGGCGACAATACTGCCGAAGACTGATATTTCTTTTCTTGAGTTCGCAAAAAACTCTTCGCCTGTTTGAACAGACCGTATTGGGAGTGTTACAAGTTCTTTAAAATCGCTCAAGAACCAAACTGCCAGCCGGTGGCTCGTCTAGCAATTTTTGCAACAAAGGCTTTTGCAATTGGTTTGCTGACCGATGGAATAAATATGAGTCGAGTAATTTGCTCATCTGCTGGCACTTCAATGAGATTTCCGCTTCCTTGGCATGAAGGCTGACTCTCCACCTCTGAGGAAAATCTGATTGTCGAGAGCGCATTTGCAAAAGACCACAAGGGAATCTGTTCACTGCATCTTGATTCCTGTGTTTTCGACATGGATCGCGGCTGCTATGATGGTCAATATAATGCCGCAAGTCACGCAAGTGTAATCCAGGCCTCTCTGCCAAGTCTGTTCCCATCATGTATTGATCCCACTGGGTAAAGTAACTTGCCATGAAGCTTTCTAGATCTGTTCTCAGACTGGAATGTAATTCAGACAATTGCGGCATCACTTTGTTCTTGAGATCCCAGCAATAAATGCAATAGTCGTTGATGCTGTCTGCACCTTTGAAGCGGCGCAAATGCTTTCGTGCCAGCCTATGAAGTGAACGCAAGCTCAAATCTGCTTGCAGATCTGGTTGCTGCAAAAAGACGCTCTTCTTGTCTTCCAACAATGTATTTACCTGAGATGCACAGAGTCCCTTGCACAATAGCTTTGAGCAAATGAACTGTGGCACCAGGTTTGCTCCTAAAAAACAAAAAATGATGCTCTCAGCATGACAAGGCACTAGCATCCATTGTTCCGATTTGTGATCCCAGCATAAGCGACTGCTCGGTTGGGAAGATGCAGCAAAGGCAGCTTCAACTTTTGCAATGACCTCAGGGTTGTCAATCTTATTCGGTCTGCCTCTTTTTGCGGGGGCGGAAGTTGCACCCGCAGCTCCACCATCCCACCGCACGCGGCCAAGAGGATAACCAAAGTCAGAAGCACTCTTCTGGGTGCCGCAATATTCCCGTACCAAGCTGTCGACATAGCGACGTACAGCCAGCACATTGCTCGGTGGGTTGGGAACAGCAAAGCCGGGAGCATTGTTCAGCTTCGAAAGGAAAAATCGAGCGCAGGATGTGAGCGATTCCATAGATGTCGTTGTGTCCTTGCCAAGCTCACTGCTCAATTTTTGCCAAACCACGGACATGATGTCAGGGCAATCCCCCTGTAACTTTTTCAAGGATGCAACCATGTCATCTGCCAACTCATTTGCAGTCGTTTTTCCCAAGGAAGCAGCACGTGTTATTGCTTTTCTCCGCCTCCAGCGCTGCACTTTGGAAGAAGTAGTTTTTGTGCAAATTTTCTTCACCTTCATCTTTGGTCTGGCCGCTGCAGTAGCTTTTGGCATCTCATGGGATGTCTTCTCAGTGGAAGTCTTTTGGGCAGCTGCGCGCTCTTTGTATGCCCTCTTTTCTTCCTTGCTTAACTCATTCCAACGGTTTTGCCACAAATCCTTTTCAAGAAATCGTCTTTGCTCATGTGTCAGCCCTGTAGAAGTACTGCTGGCAGCACGGCCACGGGGTAGCTTTGCAGATCCAGGTTTAACCTCTCGAGCTCTATGCACCAAATCTGCGGAGCTCTGCGGATCTGCTAGAATCTCTTTGACCATGAGACGAAAGCCTGCCATGACTGCAGCATCTTTGCCCATGGCTGAAATCAAAGAGCAAAAGCCAAATCTCGGTAGAATTGCGGCTCAGGATCATGATGCCAGGAAAAACGTATGTTTTGGGGTATGGATGGGGTATCGATGGGGTATCGTCTAAACTTGATGTATAGCTTACAGTTTCTGAGGGAAAAAGATCTGCCGCTCACAAACACATGTATGTATTCAGTTCTGAGGTTTGCATAGAAAAGCAAACATCTGACAGCTTTCGTGACATTTGTCACAGATGTCCAAAGAACCAGCCTAATTATACTGCCACGGTCATCACACAAAATATGACCGAGGCACAAGGAACCGAGGAGCAGAGCATCCAAGCCATGCAATGAACTCTTGCTGTCAAGATGCAGCGTGTGCTATCAGATCCTGGAAAGCAACAGGGATGTCCGCTGCAGCAGGCGCATCTTCGAACTGAAGGAGCCAACGGTAGGCATCTCGTTCTTCCTGGTGGAAAGAAGTCTTCCGTTCACCAGGTGCTGCCGAACTTCGAAATGCTTGGTACTTCCCGCTCCTGCAGAAGCAAAGTGTGAAGAGGGATCCTGGATGAATGAAATCTGTCGGCATTCCGGTTTCAATCACAGCAGGAACCCTGTCCTTGCGTCAAATCTCACCCTTTGCCGCTTGCGCGGAGCCATGCCAGCTAGCAGCAGCACAACTAAAAACGATTGCCACAGCCAAAAACGGCTGCGACATTTGGATACTTTTTGGTCCTCCCTGTCGTTTTTCGAGCAAACAGCTGGAAACCAAATCTGCATGTTGCAGTCCTGATAAACAATCATGTCGATAATTTCAGCTTTCACTCCTGTGATCTCATGATCTGATATATGAGGGGGGTATCGTCTTTAGGGTGTCCCCTATCGTTTTTCCAGGAAAATTACCAAACACGGATGTCCATGAAACCCTCCCTATAAACATAGTTGATGCTAATATTGTCTCTGGCTCATATATAAATGGGTTCACTTCGGGCATAAATGGACTCACTTTCGGCATAAATGGGATCACTTTGGGCATAAAAGCAGAGCCACGACACCTTTAGGGTTTACATCTTGTTGCACTTAATGTAAGAAGAGCCACGACACCCTTTGGGTTTATATGTTGTTGCATTTAATGTAAGAAGAGCCACGACACCCTTTGGGTTTATATGTTGTTGCACTTAATGTAAGAAGAGACACGACACCTTTAGGTTTAGAGTCTCTTCACCCAGAGACCCTTCTTCTATAGGCTTTTCAGACTTTTCACCCAGAGACTCTTGACCAATATATTACCGTCAGACTTTTCACCCATATACTTTTCACCCAGGGACTTTCACCAATACATTTTTCGCCCACATTTTTTTAACCCACGCTCTTTTCACCCACAGACTTTGCACCCTCAGACTTTTCACCCATACCCGTTTCACCTGTATACTTTTGACCCACGGGCTTTTCACCCACACACTTTTCACCCACAGACTTTTCACCCAGAAACTCTTCACCAATATACTTTTTACTTTCAAATTTTCCCCCCATATACTTTTCACCCACAGACTTTTCACCCATATACTTTTCACCCACAGCCTTTCACCCACAGACTTTTCACCCATATACTTTTCACCCACACACTTTTCACCCACATTCTTTTCACCCATATAATTACTTCTCACCGATATACTTTTCGCCCGCAGACTGTTTAACCATATACCTTTCACCCCTAGACTTTTCACCCAGAGATTCTTCACCAATATATTTTTTACCCTCAGACTTTTCCCCCATATACTTTTCTTCGTCCATATACTTTTCACTCATACACTTTTTGCCCAGAAACTGTTCACCCATTTATATTGTTTTTCACCCACAGACTTTTCACCCACTGACTTTTCACCCGCAGACTTTCACCCATACAGTTTTCGCCCACAGACTTTTCACCCACAGACTTTGCACCCTCAGACTTTTCACCCATACCTGTTTCATCCACATGCTTTTGATCCATGGACCTAGAAAACAACCGGCCCTAGGGGGAATCGATACCCACCGTTACTGTTTTGTCGCATGGTACATTACCCTGCAAAACCATACCTTTCGCACGCCGAAAACGCCAACTTTTTACGACGTTTTCGGTAACTTAAGGCAACTACCTCTCCCCACACCCCCTATTCTCACTTCGTTCGCGAATAACAAGTATACTGCTTCCCAGCTGGCTTTCGTAATAGAGGTTGTAAACAAATTTATCGCGGGGTGTGGCACGATGAGGTTGAGATTTACCAAGGCATTCACCAACACACGGGAACTTGCAGCAATCTGCAAGCGAGGCCCTACGAAAGGAAATGAACATGAACCAACCCTCAGGGGGGGTAAAAAAAACTTGGGAAATCACGGAATCAAATCTTCACAAACTGGGACATGTTCTTAAAATAAAAAAGCACCAAGAGACGCTGGGATTAAACAAAGAATACACTTGAACTGGGTATCAACCAAGAATATGTTCATTTCCTCAAGGAATAGCAAGTTGCAAAGGTAAGCAATCATATGGCAGGCTTGTGGCTGTATGGCATAACGTGGCCGACATGTCAATGATGCATGTAAGCCGAAGGGTTCATCCTGACTTCAAGTGGATCCAGATTTTGTAAGTTCAGAAGGAGGCAGAAAATTAGAAAACATCCAGAAAAAAATGTTAAATATGTTCCCAAATCTGCATCTAGGTCTCTTTATGCTTCCACATGTCATTTTACTATGATGTAAGTTGTGTGTGTGTGTGCGCGCCGTGTGCTTTCTTTTGCCACTAATGTGGTAAACCCATGTAAACCCAATGCCATAAACTATCCCCAAGTCATCATCATGTTTATGGGTGCGAAAAAAAAAAACGCCGTCATGGTAGGTTTGTAGCCAGGGGTTCACCCACAACTCTGGGCTCCCAGGCATCACCCACAACGCGGTTGGGCCTGCAACAGTCTGCGCTTGGTCGTTGGCTGTCCTTTTTGAACCATGGAATTAGGAATAATTAGGAAAAACTCAGACTGCCGCACAGATATTCAAGATTTTGATCATGGTTGATAACTTTTTGGTCGTAAATCGTGCAGTTTGGGGCAGTCAGCAGTTTCCATCGCCCGTGCCGAGGAAGAAATACTCTGTTCAACGACGTCGGTGCTTGGAGAATCCCTGCCTCGCCCCATGTTGCAAAAGAAGCTCCATCATGCAGTACCCCACATCGCCGTTGAACATACAGACCTCCAGGGCTCTCGTTGACATTCCAGCTATCACCGTCGACATGTCGTTTCCGTAGATCGCTGTCGTTACTTTCTGTGATCACCTGTGGTCACTTTCCATCATCCAAAATGTTGACAAGGCACCAATCTGTTGAAGCATCATCCTAACTTTTGGCACCCGGTCGGTACGGGGCTCACTTTGGGCACAAATTCGAGCTCACTTGGGCATAATTTTTTGAGCTTCACTTTGGGCATAAATGGGATCACTTTGGGCATAAATGAGATCACATTGGGCACAGATGGGATCACTTTGGGCATAAATAGGATGACTTTGGGCATAAACGGGGTTTCTTTAGGGTTTCTTTCGGGTTTCTTTAGGGTTGCTTTGGTTTTTTTTCGGGTTTCTTTAGGGTTGCTTTGTTTTTTTTTTAGGGTTTCTTTAGGGTTGCTTAGGGTTTCTTTAGGGTTGCTTTGGGTTTTTTCTTTAGGGTTTCTTTAGGGTTGCTTTGTTTTTTTTTATGGTTTCTTTAGGGTTGCTTTGGTTTTTTTCTTTAGAGTTCCTTTAGGGTTGCTTAGGGTTTCTTTAGGGTTACTTTGGGTTTTTCTTTAGGGTTTCTTTAGGGTTTCTTTAGTTTAGGGTTGCTTTAGGGTTTCTTTAGGGGTGTATTTAAGGTTGCTTTGGGGTATTAGTGTCTAGGGTTCAAGGGTTTAGGGATCCAGGCACAGCACCTATGAGCCCTGAGCCCTGCACGGCGGATAAGTTTCCACTTTACGCCCAAAGCGAACCCTAATTCACGTCCGAAGCGACACCAAATTTATGCTCGAAGCGAGCCAAAATTTACACTCGAAGCGAACCCCGGCCATTGGCCCACCTGGTCGAACTAAGACTATCAACGAATAAAATTGAATGTCATGATGTTTCTGCACCTCCAAACCCCCTCTTGGAGTGGTGTTTCATCAACTCCCCAACAGCCAGCTGCGCTGCTCCGACCCGGCCTGTGTCGCCACATGCAGTGGCCGACAACCGAGGCAAGCTTCATCCAAGTCTGAGGCCTGGACGCGCGCAATGTCTGTGTCGAAGGGGGTACCAATCCCCGGTGATGGTTGTTTTACTGGGAAAATGAAGGCCATTTATTGGGAAAATAAGGTATGTTCCCATATATATTTCCCAAGCATCAAATTTTGGGGGTAGCCTATCTGAAGAGACCCCGATTCCTCAAGGAGAATCATTGGGGAGTATTAGAAGGTCGCCGGTCCTTCATATCAGTGTGTGAATTTTCTCTTGGGAATGGTCCAATTTGATTTCTCATTTACTCTGGGAAGGGTAGATTCTTATATAGATATTCAAGTCCCCTAGTGTTTGTACCAACAAAACTAAACCGGTGAGGATAGCATGCCTCGAGAAGTGGTTTTGTGGCGTTGGGTGTCGCCTCCATGTTTTCTCCAGGTCATGACATCGCACCTCCACCCTTGTTCTATGGAAGCTCCACAGTGCATGTGATAAAAATATCTCAGAATTAATGGGAATGACTCAAGCGTGGGCTACCTTCCAGAACACCTGCACGGCGGCTAAAAAAGGTCAGAACATCCATGCTTGGAGCATCTTCCCATGTTTGTCTGGCAAAACAGCCATGTTCGCCTTCGAAAAAAAACATGGTGGTGGTTACTGTAAATCATTAAATCATGATAAGTCCATCTTTTGGCAACTCCCAATATGATTTTTCGCTGAGTAAACTGCTTAAGCAGCCTTAAAACCCTCCATGTTTCAGCCTCTGGTACCTCAACAGATTGCTTGGAAAATAACCATGTTTAATAGGTCAGTCATCGAACTACATGGGCCATGCCATGTTCCATACCCAAATGGAATTCGCACAGGGTATCTTTCACCAGTCCCGCCAAAAACATCACTAGTCTCGCCTCACGTTTCAGAAGATACTCCAAGGCGCGCAAGCTGTGCCGGCGAACGGCCTGACGTTTAGGCTTCCAAAAAAAAGAGTCTATGGACAAGGTAGAATCATTCTGATCCTATAAGTGGAGGTTTGAACGAGAAAAACATAGAAAAACATCGGAAAATCCTGGTGAAATCCACGAACAGAATGGAGGTTTAGTTCGCGAAAGTCATCGAACTACATGGTGGAAAGTCCTCGAACTACATGGTGGATTCTCCTTAAAGCCATTTTTGATTTTCAGAGGGCATAATATATGTATATAGATATAGGTCAACGTTGGATTGTGAAACTTTCCGGTTGGATTGTGAAACTCCCCGGTCGGATTGTGAAACTTCCCGGTCGGATTGTGAAACTTGGATTGTGAAACTTCCCGGACGGATTGTGAAACTAGTATTGTGAAACTAGTATTGTGAAACTGGAAAGTCGGATTGTGAAACTTGAAAATCGGATTGTGAAACTCTAAAATTGGATTGTGAAACTCTGGAGACGGATTGTGAAACTGGGATTGTGAAACTCTAAAGGCGGATTGTGAAACTATGTAGACGGATTGTGAAACTCTGGGGGCGGATTGAGAAACTGAGATTGTGCAACTCTGCAGGCGGATTGTGAAACTCTGGGGACGGATTGTGCAACTGTGAAGGCGGATTGAGAAACTCTGAAGAAAAATTCTGAAAAGCTGGGGGGCGATTGTGAAACTGGTGCTGTGAAAGTCTGCAGAGAGATGGTGAATCTTTACGTGGAGATGGTTGCACGGGTGCTGCGAATCTCTGAAGGCAGATCAGGAAACAGTGAAACTCCAAGTTGCAGAATTAAAGCCTCAGTTTGAAATTCTCTTAACCTTGTGGAGACTCCAAGTCAGTTTGAAGTTCCATGGGGATGGGAATTTTCATATCATCTTAACCTTGTGGAGACTCCCAGTCAGTTTGAAGTTCCATGGGGGTGGGAATTTTGATATCATCTTCAACTTGTGGACACTCCAAGTCAGTTTGAAGTTCCATGGGGGTGGGAATTTTGATATCATCTTCAACTTGTGGACACTCCAAGTAAGTTTGAAGTTCCATGGGGGTGGAAATTTTCATATCATCTTAACCTTGTGGAGACTCCAAGTCAGTTTGAAGTTCCATGGGGGTGGGAATTTTCATATCATCTTAACCTTGCGGAGACTCCAAGTCAGTTTGAAGTTCCATGGGGGTGGGAATTTTGATATCATCTTAACCTTGTGGAGATTCCAAGTCAGTTTGAAGTTCCATGGGGGTGGGAATTTTCATATCATCTTAACCTTGTGGAGACTCCAAGTAAGTTTGAAGTTCCATGGGGGTGGAAATTTTCATATCATCTTAACCTTGTGGAGACTCCAGTCAGTTTGAAGTTCCATGGGGGTGGGAATTTTCATATCATCTTAACCTTGTGGAGGCTCCCAGTCAGTTTGAAGTTCCATGGGGGTGGGAATTTTCATATCATCTTAACCTTGTGGAGACTCCAAGTAAGTTTGAAGTTCCATGGGGGTGGAAATTTTCATATCATCTTAACCTTGTGGAGACTCCAGACAGTTTGAAGTTCCATGGGGGTGGGAATTTTCATATCATCTTAACCTTGTGGAGACTGCAAGTCAGTTTGAAGTTCCATGGGGATGGGATTTTTGATATCATCTTGAACTTGTGGACGCGCCAAGTCAGTTTGAAGTTCCATCGGGGCGGGAATGTTGATATCATCTGAGACTTGTGGAGACTCCAAGTCAGTTTGAAGTTACATGGGGGTGGAAATGTTCATATCATCTTAACCTTGTGGAGACTCCCAGTCAGTTTGAAGTCCCATGGGGGTGGGAATTTGCATATCATCTTAACCTTGTGGAGACTGCAAGTCAGTTTGAAGTTCCATGGGGATGGGATTTTTGATATCATCTTGAACTTGTGGACACGCCAAGTCAGTTTGAAGTTCCATGGGGGTGGGAATTTTGATATCATTTGAGACTTGTGGAGACTCCAAGTCAGTTTGAAGTTCCATGGGGGTGGGAAATTTGATATCGTCTTTAACTTGTGGACACGCCAAGGTAGTTTGAAGTTCCATGGGGGTGGGAATTTTCATATCATCTCCACCTAGTGGAGACTCCAAGTCAGTTTGAAGTTCCATGGGGGTGGCAATTCATATCATCTTAACCTTGTGGAGACTCCCAGTCAGTTTGAAGTTCCATGGGGGTGGAAATTTTCATATCATCTTAACCTTGGGGAGACTCCCAGTCAATTTGAAGTCCCATGGGGGTGGGAATTTGCATATCATCTTAACCTTGTGGAGACTGCAAGTCAGTAGTTACGCAATTTGACCGAAGAGTTGCGCAATCCTGGGAGTTGCGCAATCCGACCAAAGAGTTGCGCAATCCTGGGAGTTGTGCAATCTGTCGAAAGTAGTTGCGCAATCCGACCAAAGAGTTGCGCAATCCTGGGAGTTGCGCAATCTGTCGAAGGTAGTTGCGCAATCCGACCCAAGAGTTGCGCAATCCTGGGAGTTGCGCAATCTGTCGACAGTAGTTGCGCAATCCGACCAAAGAGTTGCGCAATCCTGGGAGTTGCGGAATCTGTCGAAAGTAGTTGCGCAAGCAGAGTTGCGCAATCCTAGGAGTTGCGCAAGCAGAGTTGCGCAATCCTAGGAGTTGCGCAAGCAGAGTTGCGCAATCCTGGGAGTTGCGCAATCCTAGTTGCGCAATCCGACCAAAGAGTTGCGCAATCCTAGTTGCGCAATCCGGAGAAGTTTCGGAATCGGACTTTATTCTATAGATATACATATATATATACATACATATATATATAATTATAATTATATATATATATATATTATCTGAATATATGTATATCTGGCCGCCGTTTAAGCATCCACATTTTTCCCCTTTTTTGTAGAAAAAATATTGGCTTCTCGTGTAAAAATTTTGGTTTCTCGTGTGTTTACTTGCCGAGTGAAAAAAAAATGACAATATGCCTATCTGGCCAGCTATGCCAACGACGAGTAGACTACTACTACGACGACGACTACTACTACTACTACTACTGCTACTACTACTACTACTAGACTACTACTACTACTACTACTACTAATACTACTACTAATACTACTACTACTACTACTACTACTACTACTAAGAGACTACTACTAAGAGACTACTACTACTACTACTACTCCTACTACTACTCCTACTGCTTACTACTTACTACTTACTTATACTACTTACTACTTTTTACTTTCTACTTTAGACTACTATCTACTTTCTACTACTACCCCTAACTACTGACTACCCACTACCCACTAGCTACCTACCTACCTACCTACCTACCTACCCTACCTACCTACCTACCTACCTACCTACCCTACCCTACCCTAGCCTACCCTACTACCCTACCCTACCCTACTACCCTACCCTACCCTACCTACCTACCTACCTACCGTTACCTACCTACCTACCTACTACCTACCTACCTACCTACCTACCTACCTACCTACCTACTACCTACCTACCCACCCACCCACCTACCTACCTACCTACCTACTGCCCGCGCGCGGCCAATATTAGCGCGCGCGCGCCTCGTCGAGCTAAGTCGGCCAAAATAGCGCGCGCGCTCGCCTCGCGGAAATCCGGCGCATAAATTCCCGGAAGTAGCGTTTTGCCTTAACGGGCCTACTTTTGGCTAAGACCGCGCGCGCTATCGGCCAATTAATAGCGCTAGCGCGCGCGCGCGCGCTCGCCTCGCGGAAATCCGGCGCATAAATTCCCGGAAGTAGCGTTTTAAGCCTTAACGGGCCTACTTTTGGCTAAGACCGCGCGCGCTATCGGCCAATTAATAGCGCTAGCGCGCGCGCCGCGCGCCTCGCGGAAATTCGGGGCATAAATTCCCGGAAGTAGCGTTTTGCCTTATAACGGGTCTACTTTTGGCTAAGACCGCGCGCGCTATCGGCCAATTAACGCGCGCGCGCCTCGCGGAAATTCGGGGCATAAATTCCCGGAAGTAGCGTTTTGCCTTATAACGGGTCTACTTTTGGCTAAGACCGCGCGCGCTATCGGCCAATTAATAGCGCTAGCGCGCGGCGCGCGCGCCTCGCGGAAATTCGGAGCATAAATTCCCGGAAGTAGCGTTTTGCCTTATAACGGGCCTACTTTTGAGCTAAGACCGCGCGCGCTATCGGCCAATTAATACTAGCGCTAGCGCGCGCGCCTCGCGGAAATTCGGGGCATAAGTTTTGCTTTTTATAACTCATCTGCGCAGCCGCGCGCTGCCCGGAGCATAGTATCCTAATTTCAGTCAGTGAGCATCACTGTGGAATTTCCCCTTCAGTGGCGGTAGTTGTAGTAATAAGGTAGGTAGTTTAGTAGGTAGGTAGTAGGTAGGTAGGTAGGTAGGTAGTAGGTAGGTAGGTAGGCGGTCTTCAAGAGTAGAAATTCGCGCGCGCTTTGCTGGCCGTTAAGGTTTTTCGCCTGGCACCTGTATTTTGTTCCGTTTGGTCCAGAGAGCTGTCAATGGGTTCAAAGAGTGCTTGCGCAAGCTTCCGTCGACCGTTCTCTGTTTGCCATGTCGAATCCCAGCAGCGCGCTGCTGATCAAAAAACATTGGGCCCAAAAAATTTTGGAGGGGGTGAAAAAATGGGAAATCCGGTCCAGTGCCACTTCCAAACGGGGCGTTGTCGCTCTGGCTGTGAGTGGGACCGGAAAGCTCTTTGGTTCCGTTTCCATTTCGGATTGCATCTTGGTCGGTGAACGCACCAGCGACGGCCGTTTGGTGCAGGGGAAAGCCAAGGAGGAGCATTTCATTGGCAATGCCACAAATGCTGCCAAGCATTGCATTGATGACTTGAACCTGGTGAAATATGCCAAGATTTTCGCCTGGGTCCTGACAGACCCAGTCGTTTACTGCCCGCGACGCCCGTTCTTCCACAAGCGAGGCTGTGTCACATGGGTCAATTTGACAGATGCGGAGCCGCAGTCCTCTAAGTCTAAGTCCCCCGTTTCAAAGCAGCCGCCAATGTCAAAGTCGTCCATTTTGAAGCGGCCGTCTGTCAAAAAGACAAAGGCCAAGAAGTGAATCACAAACAATATGCAGAAAAAATGCCATGTCAAGTGTCATGTTCAATGCAGTTGTACAGTTGGCCCAGCGCATCAGGGCCAGGGTCAAACTATTTGGTTCGCGGCGGTGTTTGCCCAAATGATTTTGGAAGTACTCTTTTGGGCTTAGTCTTCAAAAATGACGGCTGGTGCTGCACAGCTGGCAAAGGGTCTAAAAATGTCCGTTCTGGGTTTCAGTCTTAGTTGGACCACACAGACGTTTCTTCGAAAAGCACATCATCGCCACGTTTCTGTCATTCATTACCCAGTTTACGTGTTGAACTTGCCAGATTTTCATTGCGCTTGGGCCGTGCAGGCAGCGCAGCCATTTGGAACTAAGCATGGCAATGTCATTTCAAACAACGTAAATTATTATCACAGGTGTGACATGATACAGTTGCGAATGGCAGACTTTAATACTTCAGATACATTTACTTCTGTAAATCAGACTTCGTTCCACGGGAGCGGGCGCACGTGACCAGCTTGCTTGTCACCTCCTCGGGTTTTCATGTCGGGTGGCAGGTACACTTACATGTCGTGAAATCTATGACTTAATAGACTATTCATGGCAATGGTATGAGTCACATGGCATGATACATGACGGTCGCTTGCCCAGGTGATTTCTGGCCCCTCGAAGGTGTGACAGTGATTCCGTGCGTTCATCTATATGCCCGTTTCAATTTAAAATAAGATTCAGATTCAGATGTCATCATTTAAACCATACTATTCTGAGATGATTCATTGGACACGGCGTAGCGCTCAGCAACTTGCCAGGAGAGACTGGGATCGCCTGCTTCTCCATCACTGAGACAGGCGTGGTCTGGGAGTTCGTCCGTTCATTGTCATAGATATGCAGCACGGTCAGTGTGAAGTTCAGCTGAATAAATCACGTTGTCCCTCCGCCAGCTGCTGTCATTTATGAAAAGGATGTGTAAATTAACATGCGAGTGAATGAACAGAATTGTAGACAGACATGATAAAAAAAATAGACTACTATAATTATGGACGGACGTTATTCTTCAATAGTGAACTGCCACAGACAGAAACACTGAGGATTTGTAATTGACATTCAGTTTCAAACATACGTGCCATCTCAGACTCACTTTGACTTTGACTGAACCACACCAAACGCCCGTTGACGCGCGTTGGTTCCTCCTGCAATGGCCGTTTCTTCTTCTTCTTCCCGTGGCAGCCGCGCCGTGCCACTACCGGACGTTGAAGTGCTTGTCAACGGTGTGTGGCCAAAGAGGGTGGCCCCTTGTCGCCAGAATCTGTTTAAAATTAGCATAACTTGAATTTTGAAAAAAAAATGGTTGAATTTATTTGGGACTGACTTTTTTTGCGGCACTGAGCTCAGGTGATAATTTCGTGGGCTGCCAACCCGAAGTTTCCCCTCAGGAGAGCCTCCGCTCCCTGGCTTGACTGATAAAGGGGTTTTGGCATCAATCACACTGCCATGTCATTAGACATGCAATTATTGATAATTCAGTGTCCAGGTCATGGTCAACAACGGCGTGGAGGTCATGTGCCCAACGGACGTTCCTTCTGCATTCCCTCAAATGAGGGTCCAGTGGATCAATTTGGCCCTGGAGCTAAGGCCCTGAACGCCCGTTTTGAGTCAAAGCTGTTTGTCAATTTTGTCAATGCCTGTCAAATCTGTTGTCATTTTGAATTTTGTGGAAGACCGTTTTAAGTCAAAGTTGTTTATCATTTTGCGAACTTCTGTTTAATTCCAAGCTGTTTGTCAGTTTTGTGAACGCCCATTCAATTCAATTCAGCTTAAGTCAAAGTTGTCCTGGGCTCTGCGCACAGGAACCCGGACCACGACCGGGAGTGGAGGCACATCTGTGGCACGGATAGGCACCAGCAGTCGGAGATCTTTCAACACGGCCGTTTGAAGGACTCTTGGCAAGAGTCTTTAATAGCAGTGACGGATCTACTTTGATGAGGGTGTCAAAGCCCTGTTTCACCCCAATCCCATGCCACCAATGTTTCGTGGCATGGGATTGGCCATTTGCCAGGAGATCCTTGTGGACTGCTTGAAAAAGCCCGTTGACATCATCATGGTGAACTGCAAGTCGAACTTTCACCGAGCACCGGCCGTTTCCATGCTGATCTACGGTGCGCTCCAGGCAAGGAGTCTTCATGAAATTTGATACAAACGTTTTAATAGAGGCAAGTTATATTTAGATATCATATGCCTGTTTCTTGTTTAATGACGGGGTGTCACCAGGACTAATAGTAGCAGTAATAATAACAATCATCATAATTAACCAGTGCGAAACTAAATTTCAAACCCACGGTTGATGGTTGATTGGGTGAATGCCATCTAAGATCTTCCAAATACCTAGCCTGGGTTTACCTTCCTTTTACTGGGCTTTAAGACTACCCCCAGCAGGTGTTTTCTGATTTTTAAAACAATTCCTGTAGATATTACGGGTTATGTTCACTTATTTGCATGGGCTTGGATTTATTTATGTCGTGGGGCTGGCAATGAGTCATGTTGATTCATGTTGGGTAAAGCATGGTCATAAACACTCCCTAATCACCACTTAGCATTCAGTAAAATCATGACGATTCATTTGTTTTGTCAGTTTTGAATGTTTTGTCAGTTCTTTTGGTCACGTCCCTGACCTGTCTGACTCTGACAGGCCTACTGTGATACAACGCCCGTTCTGGCGATGCCCTCGCTGAACAACGAGGGCGCGAGCTGGACAACGGACATCTATATGCTTGGATTATTGATGGCCAAAGGGCGTTGGGAAGAGGACCAGGAGCATGTCAGGAGACATGGATGCAACAAAAATGTTTGGGACCCCCAACAGTGTTTTTAACATGCCCAGCTATATTAAAGCTGAGACCAACCATCTAACTAAGGGAAGTTCAGATGGCGCTCAAAAGGGGCATCGCCAACATTGGCAGCAATGATCGAACGATGGGGGATTACTGCCAAACAGCACTACAATCGTTTGAGTATTTGCACGGACGTTTGGTGCTGGCCACTTCGTCGTGGTTAGTTAAGTCACGGCCGTTTTAATTTTTGACCCATAGTTGTTTTTTTTCAGAGTTTCAACGTCCGTTCGGGCTGATCACCCAATAGCTCAGGAGTTTCCGCCACCCCCGCCGCCCAAAGCTCGCCCGTCTGCCAAGCAGCCCCGTCCAACTGTAAGTGCGAAGTTCAAGGCAGCCCCCCCGGGGCTTCAGGCCCAGTTGGAGAGGACGATGAGAATGCAGGGACCACCCCCTGAACCAGCGGGACAGCCTCCGAGACCGCCCGTTGCACCTCCGGATGTCAAGGGTGTGCCTGAGGGGTCTGCCTCCAAGGCTAGGCCCGTTGGACCTCGGGCCCCGGGCCACTCAAAGGCTGTCTCGCCTTTAAAGAGATCAAAGAGGCCGTCAACAACTGAAGAGGAGCCCGAGGCTGGAGAGGCTACAGCTGCTTCATCGTCATCTCCGAGTGTGATTGTGCCTTCAGAATCCCATCGCGGAATTATCGAAAAGACCGCATTGCTGGTTGCAAAAGGTGGCGAAGGGTACGAAGATCGAATCTTGCGGGAACAGTCTGATTCTAGCAGATTCTACTTCTTAAAGCCCGGTGACGTGCATCGACCATACTACGAGCAAAAGCTGGCTGAGAGCCGTGCTCGCGTTGCTCTTGCCGTTGGCCCTCGAGCTGAGATGCGTTCCAGGTCGCCTAGGACGTCGCTGTTCAACAAGGCCCCAGCTGAGCCTGATGCGACGCCCGTTCCGATGGCTGCTCCTGCCCCAGAGCCAGTTAGGTACTCGGATACGGCCGTTCCGGTGCCTTTCAACCTGACAAACTTGACAGAGGGGCAGGGCACGCCGTTGGAGCAGGCCCTTGCTGGTGAATCAGTGGCTTGGAATTGAATGATGAGGTGATTGTTTTTGAAAGCAATTTTGATTTAATTTTGTGATCCGTGAGTCAACCAAGGACGCGGTCATGTGACTCAGTTGCACTGTGCATGTCCCAGACGTCTGTTCAGAACAAGTTTATTATTGCTTGAACCCTCATTGTTTCTGTCTCCGGTCTTCTTACTTTCTGTCATTCCTTTTGTGGGTAACTTCAATCCTTTCAATGCTTTGTCAGGAGGGAGCTGCTGGTTGACTGCAACCTATTGCCTTCGACCGTTTCTGCATTTGCGATGCTGGGACAGGCGTCACGCCTCAGGCAAGCGAGGTTGGCGCGCCTGGGCCTAATAATAAACTGACCACCATTTTAAACTTTTAAATCAAGAATCATAATAATAATCTCTGTCTTGACTTATTTTGTCAAGAGATGGACGTCCGTTCAGTTCACTACAAAAAATGCAATCCAAGGCTCAAGATGCAACGCGCGTTCAGTGGAAGGGAAACGCGCGTTTTCACTGCGACCAAGCAAGGGGTCTCGCCCTTCGACGATTTCATCATGACCTGCATTCGCAACTTGGAGCCAAACATGTAACAAACAGTCAGTCATTGCCGTACTCATTTATTTGAATGTCAGGGCCACATATTATTTAAACTTTGCTGATGTTGAACTGTCCCAGGCAATGACCTACGGGACGTGATCACATGCAGGGAGAACCAACCGGATCCCTAGCCAGAAAACGGCCGTTGGTGTGGTTCAAAATGATGGCAACTTTGCAGCCTGCATGCCCTTCACTTTTGTCATGCTGACCGGATAAGAGATTGATCGTAGTGGATGGAGCTCACGTCGTTCACTGCATGCTCATCAGATTTTGTCATGTCTGACCGCCATTGAATTCATTCACTTTGTCCTGCACTGTTGAACTGGCTGTTCTTGAGCGTAAAAATGATGGCAACGGACTGGATTTCAATTTCGATGCATTCAATGATGACTCATGTCAGATGTCATGGCAATGGATCATCATTTTTTAATTTGGTACGGTTGAGCAGTTGCCCTGGTCAGGTCCAGCTGACTTCTTCTTGGCCAGGGCCCTGGAGAGTTGCCAGGAACTCACAATCCCTGCTTATGGAAGTCTGAGCAAGTCTATTTCAGTTTTATGTGCCTTCATTTTGGCTTTCAGTTTCATTAATTCGAAGGCCATGACCACGCCAGTTGTTGTCCCCAACCCATCCGAATCCGTGGCCGCCGCCTTTTGGCGGACTTCATGGCTGAGAAAATTTGACTGGCTAGTGTTGAAGCAGCAGGATGGCGGTTCAGAACGTCCGTTTTGCAAAACCTGTCAGAAGTTCCTCTTTCAAAAAACCGTGGGTGGAGGAAATTTGACTTCATTGCTGAGACACGAAAGGACCGGATTGCACCAAGGCAAAGGGCCTATGAAAACGTCGTCCGTTCAGGCACCCCCAATCCAAGACTTTTTGGATTGCCTTGATGACAGGGCAAAAAGGAAATCATTCAGGTCGTCTGGCAAGGAGAAAGCATGGAAACTGTCATGGTGCCTGGCTGAGGCGTTCAAGATGTCTGTGCACGGCCAACTTGCCCAAGTTGCATCGTCTACAGTCTGCCAAGACGCTCAGGGACAGGTTCTCTCCGTCCGTTTCTTTAGCTCTTTGAAAGTCACGGGCGGCGGGGATGCCAGTGTTTCAGGGCTTTTGGCTTTGGTCAATGACTGGGGGGCGGGAGCTTCTGATTTGGCATCAGCAGTTGGCAAGGGAACTAAGAGGTTCTTCATCAAGTACTGGAAGCCACCCCGAGGTTGGACAGGGCCAAAGCCTACTTTGAAACGGCCGTTGTACCAAGCCTTCCGGAAGAGCGTCTTGTTTGTTGGCAGCGATGCAGCGGCAGATGAGACGAAGGCCGTTCGCCTTTTGGCAGGCAAAGCGGCTCCTACCGCAACTTCCAAGGCATTCCGTTTGTTCCCAAACATCAAAGCCCGGGTGAGGGACAACGCTCATGCAGTGGGCCGATTCACTTTGAAATGGAATGTGAATGAGACCCTTGGAAAGACCTACAAGAAGTACGTCCGGGGCAAGACTTCGATAACATCATTGATTTGGCATTCAGTGGACAACAAAAGAATTTTCCACAAACACGTTGCTCAACTTCAAGTTTATTGAAACTCTTAGCCGTTTTTTCAAATGTTTTTGCAGACCTTACCTGCTGAGGTTCGGCGGCTCAAAGAATGCCCATTCAGAGCAAATCGAATTCGTGACTTGCAGTCTGCTCATCACCGGCATTCATCTGTTGCACGTCCGTTGGGAAGGTTTGTGGCCCTTTTTGATGCAATGTTGGGAACCGCCCAGGAGTCATTCGGCCTCTTAAGGTTGAAAATTTGAGTCTTAGTTTTTACCATTTACCATTGTAAAAATCTGTTCACAGGGATGGTTGTGTTCAGGATACTTTCAAAGAAGACAATGCCAAAGACGGTCCAATGCTGTCGCGAGTTCCTATCACAGATTAGTTCCACGGACCTGCTGCTACTGGCCATGATGGCAGATGCCAGTGACGAAGAGCTGAGTTTGCTCAGGCAGTTTGACCAGAGCTATTTGCCCACCTCTGACGTCCGTTCTCTGGTGCAAAACTTCCTTTCAAAGATTGAGTTCTTGTTCTTGTGTGCTGGAGCCACTAAGACGGGATTCACTGCATATGCGGGGGCCTTAGTCCAAAATAATAATCCATCAGTAAATTACACCTGTCACTGTTACTAGTCGTGTTGTCTTATTATCACTAGTCTGAAATATATTGTTGGTTAAATTGCTGCCTTGTCGTGAGTCCCAAAGTATTGACCACCCCAGGCATTGAGACTCCTGAAAAGACAGCATATCATCAAGCTACCTGATGGTAGCCTTCGTTCAGTGGGAGGAGACCTGAGCCCATTGGATGTGCAGCTCGCTCTTACTATTAAGCTGGGTTGGATTTTAACATAAATAAACATAAATATAACAAGATGAGCTAATTGGTTGGTCAAGGCTGATCTTTCACAGAATGCAGGTCGACCTGTCTCAATCATATGGCTTCTTGGGTGGAGGTTGCAAGGGCGACAATGCAGTATGAATGGCCAGACTTTGAGCTCATCAACAGCCTTGGGGTTTTTCAAACAAGGGAAGGCAACCATTCTTCAGATGAGCGGCGCCTTATGCTTGACAGGTTGGTCACCCCCATTCTGTTGGACGGCCGTCAGCTGACCAATGATGAGAAGGCAGACTACTTGATTCAGGTGTGGAGGCAGTACCAAATGTGCAGGCCTTTTGCTGTCAAAATTGCCGGCCGTTTTGCAACTTCTCCACAAAAAGATTACTTGTGTTGGACTGAGTCCGTCAGAAAAGCCAAAAAAAATGGCCATGACGTTTCTTTGCTTGAGAGTCTGGTATCTGCTGGCCTTGCTAGCGTGGGAGCCACCACTGCAAACAGTGAACGTGATTTTGCTGCCATGCGAAAACGAACAAACCCAACAGTGGCAGAAGTTGAGCGTTTTCTTCAAACCTTCATGGGGGGCCTCAACACTGACGCCAATGCCATGGACAAAAAAAACCAGCTTTGTCAGAAAGCACGACAAGTGTGGCAAAAAGGGTTTGGCACTCCCCGCGTCAGTGGTGAGAAGCGAAAGTCTTTGAATTGGGCAAATGGCCTGAGGAAGAAGAAAGTGAAGGCGAGTCAACTCAATGTCAATACTTCATTATCAAAAAATATGTCCCAGTTAATTATCACTTTCATTTTTCATTATTCTTGGTCCCCCATTGGAACAGGTGGACTCTGAACGGACATTCATCGAAAAGAGGAGGCAGGATTTGAACCAATTGATGAAGTCTGAGAGTGCTGGTCAGCGCCCAGTTGCCCGTCCGTTGATGAACTCCTCTGAAGGCCCTCCCTTGCTTACGCCCGTTCTCTCTGGAAAAGAGAAGGGAAAATTATCAGACTTGAAAAATGAAAGCAAGAAACGAAATTTTGCAGCTCAGCAGTTAGCATCGCTGCGCACGGGTGACCGCCTGCAAACGGACGAGTTTGATGAAATGGCAAGGCACGGGGTTGAAAATTCAACCATAATCTAAGCGACCGACCGTCCTACCTGGCTCCCAGGCAGCAAGCCGAGTTGGACCTGGCTGCAGATTCTCAGCTCCAACGTCCTTTTAAATCAGATTTTAACGTCCAATCGTTTTTCACTAAAAGCAGTTGATTGAACTCAGGACCGCAAGAGGCGGCGACTTGACACGGCTGATGCACCGGTCAGTCCTCTGAAATTGAACTCCAGGACCAGTCAAATTTAATCAAGGTTCCACGACTTTCTTCCACGGTTTCAATCACCATGATTTTCATGTCAAGCATGGCAGGAATGCATACATCGCCCGTTGCGTTCACATGAGAGATGCCGTCGCCCGTTCACTGGTGACCCATCATCATGCCTTGCCACAGAAAGACTTCCTCAAAGCTGATGTTTTTGTTGTCAAATCATTGACTTCACCTGGCCAGCGAGTGGAATGGATGGCAAAGCTAGGCGGCTTGGCTATTGTGAGCTCAGATTATGCCATGGGGAGCACAATGGGCCCATGGATCAAATTCAAAGGCATTGCCGAGATCCCGCCCGTTCGCCACCTCCTTTTGGACAAGCGCTTTCAAGAAAAGCATCCGTCCTTAACGGCCATTTTGAAGCAGCAGTTCGGGAAGCCAAAGTCTATGTGGCGAATCACAGTGGCCCGAATTAAATTATATTAATTTAATTATTTTTATTTTAAATTTTAAGGTTATTGTCATTTGCCCAGGCGAATGCAAACTCATGGGCCAATGTGGCGAAAACACGGAAGTCTTCAAGCAACATTTGTTGGGCTCTGGTTGCTGAGGGAGATGGCATAAAGGACAAATTTGCCCGTAGGCTGGGGGTTTCTGCTGCGTCCGTTCGGCTTTTTACCGCCGGTGAGTTCATTTCTTGGAAACCTGCCTCGAAGATTGAATCTGCTCACTACGGAGTCTCACAGGCCTAGACTTTTAATGATCTTTTTCTGGTTTCACCGCTGAAGTTGGCCGATGGCCATGACAGGATGTTGGGGACATAACATCCTGACAAAGCACCGCCGCCAGACCAGGGTAAAACATGCTGACACAATTACTTTACCAATTTTAAATTATTATGGTCGGTGTTATTGGCCAATGGGTAACTCCCTCTATGGAAAAAACCTGTCAAAATTCAAAACAATACAGTCGTAGGACCACACGCTACCCCGCAAAACCTTCAAATCTCAATCCATCAAAATCAGGTGAATTTATTGGAAATGTGCAATCCATCCAACTGACCCATTTCCCATGTTTGATTTGCTTGCCAACTGACTGACTGACAACACTGATGTTTGATTCTACAGTGTCAGGCACTGCTGCGTATATTGTTGATTGTCAGATTCAGGGGGGATATAGAGGATCAATCAACTGCCAAGGCCGACTGGTGCCATCGCTTGACCAACGAAGTTTGCGCCTTAGTGGCTTTTACAAACTAAACTCTGTCCTCAGCCATCGAACCATCATTGAACGCCCGTTGAAGCAAACTCTGAACTTCAGGACATGTCCGACTTTTTAAAGCCCGAGACGACGGAGTCGGAGGAGAAGGAGGAGGTGTATGACGTCCGTTCCGATGAGGTGAAGAATGACAAGGACGCTGAGAATGAAGACGTCCGTTCCGATGAGGACGCTGAGAATGAAGACGTCCGTTCCGTGACAGCAAACCTCGTCGTTGATGTGGAGGAGGACCAGGAAGAGGACGTCCAAGTGAAGGAGGATGTCAAGGAAGCGGAGGAGGACCAAGAGTTATTGAAGGAAGAGCAGGACCAGGAGGAGGACCAAGAGTTATTGAAGGAAGAGCAGGACGACGTCGAGGAAAAGCAGGACGTCGAGGAAAAGCAGGACGTCGAGGAAAAGCAGGACGTCGAGGAAAAGCAGGACGTTGAGGAAAAGCAGGACGTCAAGGAGGATGAGAATGTCGAAGTGAGGGAGGACGTCGGGGCGCAGGAGGCAGTCGAGGTGAAGGAGGAACGGGAGGAGGCAGGGGGGGTGGAGACCTCAGTTGAAGAAAACCCGTGGCGGCTCCTCGAACCGGTCGGTGACACAACGACTATGACGACAGCTGAGGACCATCAGGAGAGCCAAGTTTTCAAAAAAATAGACCCCACAAAATTAAATAGACTAAATTTAAATGGGAAACTTTAAACTTTCATTATTTTGCTGGAGCTGCTCGATATTTTGAAAAGTCCGTCAGCTCCGTCACTGAGCTCAGTGGCTGGGTGGTGATGGGGTACCGTTACCCAGGCACCACCGAGCCCCTGAGCTTAGCGGCTTGGTGCTGATGACTTTTACCAAATTGAACCGAAATCATCGAATTCCACAATTAAATATAAACGCCAGATATTGTTTTTCCTCAGCTGGTGGTCTGGTGCATGGGTAAAGGCATGGTTTCACAGCTGGTGGTGTATGGATACCGTTACCAAAAAGCATCCACTTTTCCCCCTTTTTGGTTTCAAAAAAATTGTTTCTCGAGTAAAAACATGGTTTTACGAGTAAACAAATATTACTATATTACTCCAGACGATTACAACAACAACAGTTAACAACAGTTAACAACAACAACTACTACTACTACTACTACTTCTACTACTTCTACAACTTCTACTACTACCTACTGCTATTACCACTACTACTAACACCTCACCACTCCTTTGCTCGGACCTTATTACTGGCTACTTTACTCCTGCTTCACTTCTACTTCTACTACTACTACTACTACTACTAAGTAGGACTACTACTACTACTAAGTAGGACTACTACTACTACGATGACTACTACTACTACTACTACTACTACTCCTCCTGCTACTAGTGCTACTACTCCTACTGCTACTCCGACTACTACTACTACTACTACGACGACGACGACGACTACTACTACTACTACTACTACTACTACTACTACTACCTACTAACTACTAACTACTAACTACTAACTACTAACTACTAACTACTAACTACTAACTACTAACTACTAACTACTAAATACTAACTACTAACTACTAACTACTAACTACTAACTACTAACTACTAACTACTAACTACTAACTACTAACTACTAACTACTAACTACTAACTACTACTACTACTACTAATACTACTAATACTACTACTACGACTACTACTACCACTACCACTACTAGTACTAGTACTAGTACTAGTACTACTACTACTACTACGACGTACTAAGTACTAGTTACTAAGGACGAAGTACTACACGCATCAGCAAGGTGTCTGTCACGGCCGTTAAGAAATTCCCGTCAGTCAAAAAATGACAGCTGGTGCTGCACAGCTGCCAAAGGGTCTAAAAATGTCCGTTCTGGGTTCCAGTTGTAGGCCACACAAGCGTTTCTTTCAACAGCACATCATTCAAATAATTTCATGACATGAGTCGCCACGTTTCATTCATGACCCATGCCAGATTTCATCGCCTTTGGGCCGTGCCGTGACCAGCCATTTGGAAATTGGTTTAACATGACAATGTCAATTCAAACAACGCAAGATGCTGCTATATATCATTATCAGAGGAGTGACACACGAGCAGGCACAGTTGTGAATGGCATTATACAGACATATACTTCAGATACATTTACTTCTGTACTACTTCAGACTTCACTCAACGGGAACGGGCGCACGTGGAGCTTGCTTGTCACCTCCTCGGGTTTTTCACATGTCGGGTGGCAATAATTACATGTCATGATGAAAACTCAGACTAACATGGCATTGTCATGGGTTACATGGCATGATACATGACGGTCGCTTGCCCAGGTGATTTCTGGCCCCTGCGAGGTGTGACTGTGATTCCAAGCGTTCATCTGTTGATCTGTCCATTCCAAAGTAAAAGGAATAAGTCTGAGAATGATTTCAGCAACTTGCCAGGAGAGCTTGAGATCGTCCGTTCCTCCATCATCTCTGAGAGGCGTGGTCCGGGAGTTCGTCCGTTCATCCGTCTTTTGTCATACATATGCAGACTGTCAGTGGCGTGTGATTCAGATGAATAAATCACGCTGTTCCTCCGCCAGCTGCTGTCATTTGACAAGGATGTGTATTGTAAATTGACACATGCGGGTGACTTGAATGAACAAAATTTGAATAGATAATATTATTGAATATTATTATTATTATAGACGGATGTTATTCAATTAATACCCGTACTGCCACAGAAGAAATTCCTGCGCACGGCATTGTCATTGTAATTGACATTCAATTTTATACTACGTCTCAGACTCACTTTGACATTGATATTATTATTATTATAGAACCACACCAATAATAGTGCTGGCCTTGATATTAAAGAACCACACCAACGACCGTTGATGCGCCTTGACCTTGAACCACACGAAACGCCCGTTGACGTGCGCAATGGCATCATCAAGTCCGAGCAATGATGCCGTTACTACTGTGGTGCCGAACGGTGTGTGGCCAAAGAGGGTGGCTCCTTGTCACCAGAATCTGTTTGCATAAACTGAATTTTATTTTTTAAGGTTTGGTTGATTTGTTTGGGACTCCTGAGCTCAGGTGATCATTTCGTGGGCTGCCAACCCCAAATTCCCGCTCAGGAGTGGCTCCGCTCCCTGGCTTGACTGATAAAGGGGTTTTGGCATCAATCATTGACTCTGCCATGTCAATGTCATTACGCAATTATTGATAATTCCGTGTCCAGGTCATGGTCAACGGCGTGGAGGTCAAGTGCCCAACGGACGTTCCTTCTGCATTCCCTCAAATGAGGGTGCAGTGGATCAATTTGGCCCTGGAGCTAAGGCGATGTCATGCCGGTCAAGTTTGTCATTTGCCCTGAACGCCCGTTTTGAGTCAAAGCTGTGTGTCAATTTAATGCCCGTTTTAAAGTCAAAGTTGCTTGTCATTTTGCGAGCTTTTACTCATTTAAGAGCCCACTGTCAGTTTTGTGAACGGCCGTTCAGTTTAAGTCAAAGTTGTCCTGGGCTCTGCGCACAGGAACCCGGACCACGACCGGCGGTGGAGGCACATCTGTGGCACGGATAGGCGCCAGCAGTCGGAGATCTTTCAACACGGCCGTTTGAAGGACTCTTGGCAAGAGTCTTTAATAGCAGTGACGGATTTACTTTGATGAGGGTGTCAAAGCCCTGTTTCACCCCAATCCCATGCCACCAATTTTTCGTGGCATGGGATTGGCCATTTGCCAGGATATCATTGTGGACTGCTTGGAAAAGCCGGTTGACATCATCATGGTGAACTGCAAGTCGAACTTTCACCGAGCACCGGCCGTTTCCATGCTGATCTACGGTGCGCTCCAGGCAAGGAGTCTTCATGAAATTTGATACAAACGTTTAAATAAGATAGAGGCAAGTTATATTTAGATTATCATCATCATCATCATATGCCTGTTTCTTGTTTAATGACAGGGTGTCACCAGGACTAATAATTGGTAAGTGAATAATAATAAGATAATTAAAAATAATAAGTGCGAAACTAAATTTCAAACCCACGGTTGATGGTTGATTGGGTGAATACCATCTAAGATCTTCTAAATACCTGGCCTGGGTTTATCTTCCTTTTACTGGGCTTTAAGACTACCCCCAGCAGGTGTTTTCTGATTTTTAAAACAATTCCTGTAGATATTTACGGGTTATGTTCACTTATTTGCATGGGCTTGGATTTATTTATGTCGTGGGGCTGGCAATGTTCCTACCAAACGTGCAGGCAACTGAGCTGATTCATGTTGGGTAAAGCATGGTCATCAACACTCCCTAACCACCACTTAGCATTCAGTAAAATGATTAGGACACAAATGTTAACGATTCATTTGTTTTGTCAGTTTTGAATGTTTTGTCAGTTCTTTTTGGTCACGTCCCTGACCTGTCTGGCTCTGACAGGCCTACTGTGATACAACGCCCGTCCTGGCGATGCCCTCGCTGAACCACAAGGGCCGAAGCTGGACAACGGACGTTGGA